ATGAAGACTGGCAAGAAATTTCGAATCCATAAGAACATCAATGGATTTCATAACTCAAAGCCAAAACATGGTGACCGACCACCGCAAACAATAACTTCATTCACTGCGATGGTGATGTTTTCTCCGGGCTGAATTCGTAATGATTTCCTGATCGTTCGAAAAATGCGAGCTACGCACTTCGGAGAAATCATTGCCTTTGTAGTTTTGGTCCACTCTTTATTTTTAGTTCGAATGCATTCTGGAGAGGATTCTGGAAAATTTCCATAATTCCGCCAAGGCCCTGCATCCCCCCCCGTCCCGAGTGCAATTCAAGAATCAGTGGTCGCAAAACAGAGATGGTTTCAAAAAACGTGTTAAATGGACTGACATTTTCAAACGATTCATTTCGCACCGAAATTCGAGACGACCACGTGGGAAGCCTTGAAAATCTATACGCGTGAGTGGCACGGATGTTCGAATTTCGAAGATGTTCTCAAAAAATAGAGACAACTTTAGACGAGAGAGCCCTTGACTTGAGAAACGTGCAATTCACCACCCCTGGGCGGTCACTTCAGCACAAGATCTAGGAGTAGAGGTAATAACCTGAAGAGCATGGTTCAAAAATCGTTAAAAAACGGTTCTGTTGGTAGAGTTGCATTCCTAAGCCATAGAAGGGTCTGGAAAAGACTGAAGAAACTCCAGGAGCACTATTAAAAGCCAAGAATTGCTAGCAAACGTATTGATCTTGATTTATGCGCTATATTTGTTGAAACGTGGGGAATTAGTGAATACTGGGAAAATAATAGGTAGGGTTGAGTTTCCCACTGGCTCTTTGCTGGCGCCTAGCCAAGATTTTCAACACTTGATCAATATATGACATGTGTCAGACTTTGCGACGAATCCCTAGCGAATTGGGCAATTCGGTAACTATTGGTCGAAGTTTGAGATCTGCTCAAAAGACCCGTCGGAAAGATGCTGCGTTAGGTCAATTCACACATTCGTTTGGTTGAAGTCAGCGACAACTTCTCTGTCCTTGAACAAGACGAGATAAATAACAAAGAGACGAGATAACATGAAAGTCCGAGCCAAGTTCGACATCAAAAAAATCGATTCTGAACGCATGACGAAATCGGCAGAGCTGCGATTTCTGAATAATGCGCATCCATACCCAATTTCAGGGTCCCAAACGGTAGTTCAAAGGGAAATCACAACTTAAAGGACGAATTCGCGATGAAAAAGCAACCCATTTCAAATTAACCTCTAGGGATG